TATATATATATAAAAGACTGTTTTTCTAAGTAATCTAGAATTTAGCTGCAAAGACCCGCTTCGCTGGGCAAAAAGTAACGATAGTGAAGATTAATATAATTACAATATAGCTAATCTTACCCGTTTTCACAAAATGCAAGAATTAGGTCCCCCGTTTCCAGACTAATTAGAGAATTTTTACGTTTAGTCAAACGAACAAATTTCAACGTTTCTGGAACGTTTTCAATCGTTCTATAATCGAACCAATTTGAATTTTATGTTCGAATTTAATTCGAACAAATTCGAAAATATCAAACAAAACATTCGAAATAGAAAGCCACTTTCAACCACTTTCAGCCTCATATCTCCCGCACCCTTATAGCTATCGAGACGCAACCACCCCTATGCACAAATGGAGACTTGGGGCTACCACCACATACAAACACCATTCACGTGCGATGTGTAGTTTTGGCGAAAAAGTGAGATACAGGGACATGCATGTCCATTTTTATATATATATATAGATTATAGCCATATTATAGCCCGAGTATTTAGGCGTTTGTTGGTTTATTAAGATATGGAGCATGAGATGTCCAGACAATGATGGCCAGACAGTAGAAAATGCACAGCTAATCACTTTATCAGTGAAATGTTTTCACAGAAACTACTGTATACATTGTTCAATATGAAGAGCACTCTATCTTGCATGTAAGTTGTTGACTCCACTATTGGAGTATGACAAATTTTGAGTATTCTTGTTATCTCTAGACAGCATTGAATAGTGGTACTTTAATTATGATCACCTACTATATAACACAATTTGTGTATTGTATAATACAATTATACAATATACAAAATAATTTAAAAGTTGGAGTATGACAAGTTTTGAGTATTCTTGTTATCTCAGGACCATCACAGAGAATGTCATAATTTGTTGGGACTAGCTTCTTCAGAGAAGAATTGTCGAAGAATAAATATGGTTGTGAATCCATAACAGACTATAACTTTAGGCAAGTGCAGTTGGTTTTTTTATTCCCAAAAGTAACAGTTACAAGTATTTGTGTTCTACTAAAGTGAAAATGTGTCTTGTTGCTCTTGCTGCATTCTGACAAGAAAGACAAATGCAAAGATTAGTTGAGTTTTCAGGTTGTGGCTGATCATATAGAAATTAAAATGTACCTACTTTCCACACTTTGTCATAGTATATACCTAAATGCTGTGCAAGCATATATACTACTTGAATTAATGTATACTGGAACTAATGTTGACTGTTCAACAATGGTAAAATTTTCAACAACTTTACAAGCTGATATAGATGTTACCCATAGATTGGGTTGAACTTTCAGATGTCCAGTTTCCTCAAATTGAATGATTATTTTCTCAAGAGCTTGTGAAATCAGTGATCCTCAGAATAACTTTTATAATGACAAAACTTTCAAATTGCAGCTGTGCATTGCAGTTTTCATAAAACAGTTTCACAAGAAATATGCATTCTGACAAGATTCTGCTATTCTTAAGTGTAAAGACCATATAACAGTTATGGCTACTTTGAACTGAAAACTTGGTTGTAACAGGTGTGCCCATACAAAGGAAACTGCATTTTTGTTATTTTCAGCGCCAAAAGTGCCGTAGTGAAGCATTTTTGGTATTGGTACTAATTTTTATGGAAGACAAGTCTTGAAATGTCATCCTATCTAATTTGGTTGGACTGCTAAAGATATCTCTAGACAGCATTGAATAGTGGTACTTTAATTATGATCACCTACTATATAACACATATATACAATTATACAATACACAAAGCAATTTAAAAGTTCTTATAAATAAATAATTAATTTTGATTTGTAATATATATTTATTATTATTTGTGAAAAAGAAATGCCAGTTGCTTTTTAGTTATTCATAATTATTTGACAGTACTTTAAATATATATAACGTAAGTTAGTGTTCTGAAACTGGTATACCACGGAACACTGGTGGGCCGTCACATGGTGAAAGGGTGTGACATGAACTTTTACATATTCTGTTAATTTCAAGTTTTATTTATATATTTTTATCACAGTTGTTGTGTTTCTTATACTTGTATTTCATTTTCTGCCACAGCGCTGATGAAATAAAATGATGCTTGCTTATTCTTTATTACAAGCCATGCATTTTTATATATTCTAAGAAATTATATGTAAAATAAATTTACTCACATGTGTTGATGTCTGTTTAATAACAATAATAATAGGTTAGTAGCATTATGTAATTCTATTAATAGTATCATATTATACATTTTTGAGGGGAATAACATTTTGGTGTGCCATGTTGAGTCATGGGTGTGCCGCAAGTAGAAAAAGGTTGCAGAACACTGACATAAGTTATATTTTAAACTTTAAGGTAAAATGAAAATTGTTTTATGTCAGATGTAATTTGAGAAAAACATTACAATTCACATATTTTTTATTTTTCTTTTATCTGAAATATTTGAAAATGATTTAATATCATTTTGTGTGCATTTCTTGTTATTCAGAAGTAGCAAAAAAATGAGGTTTTTGCATACTTTCAATATGGAAAATGCCAAAAGATTAATTTACAAAATTTTAACTTTTTATATTAAAAATATTTTTGAGTGTACCCCATTTTAAAAGTGATACAGAAACCTCATTTTCTCACTACTACTAGATATATTCAGGTAATGTTTTTCCGTTAGATCTGTCAAAGTACAAACATTTTCTTTTGTTATTATATATTCTACTAGCAATTGTATTGAAAACAATGGCTTATGTCCTTATTACATGAAAACATTAAAAAGTAATATTCAAGAAATAATAATGGTTTCTTGAATTTTATTTTTCTAATCTTGTCAGAATGCAACAATGTCAAAAATAGTCATCATAAGTTTTATTATGCTATAGATCCCTTTTTCAGAAACCTGAATATAATAATTAAACCTGAAAATAAAAACAAGGAAAATGTTTTATTACATTGTGTTTGAAACTGTGGTCTGTATATAGCCTTGTCCAAGCGCTTCAAATATGAAAAGTTTGCAAATAGTTTTAAGATTACAAGGAGAGTTTATATGAACCTTTAACGTAAAGCTTTGTAAAACAATTGTAGTTTTATGGAGAATGAAGTAATTTAAATTATGAAAGTCGAATAAGAGTATACTGAGTAATAATATTTCGATATATTATATATCATTTTAACAGAATTTATAGTCATAATTTAATATTTTGTTTATCTGAATAAAATTCTATATTTTTTAATTTACATATATTTTCTTTTCTATATAGCTGGGTGACTATTCTGTATCCTTAAAAGCTTCCACCAGGAATAAACACTTTAGAGTCCATGTTGAAGATGGTGTGTTTTGTATTGGTCAACGTAGGTTCAATACCTTAGATGAACTGGTAGAGCACTATAAGAAAGCTCCAATATATACGAGTCCTCATGGTGAAAAATTATATCTTATTAAATCATTCCAAAGGCCCCGATGAAAAATGAGAAAAACAATCATAACAATGCCTATTGCATCACTCAATCCCAGTTTTGCCTATTTTTCATATTTGTTTACAAAATGGCCATTAAGAAAATATATGTATGAATTGACTTTTTCAATTTGTTACTCAACTGAGGATATGACAGTTGAAAGTAACAAATTAGCAAAGAAAGTTTTAGATTCTTTGCTAACATTTTAACAGATATTGAATCTCAAACAATTATTCCTATATTTAAGATTGTATACATTAACCTATTATATGTTATACTAGTAAATGTATTCAATTTACAGTTTTATATATGTGCAGTCAATTCTTGATTATCCAAACTAATGGAGTGAGTAACAATTTAGAATTAAGTTTGATTATTTGTAAGAAATATCTAGAGCTCTTTACACTCTTAGTGTTGATTTGTAAGATATCTTAGTTTTTATAGCAGAGATTACATTAAATGTTTCTCAAATTACAGTCTAGCCTTTTTTTATAATAATTAGATTTTCTATCACAAGTAGCAATGAATTGCTTTATTATTTGGCATAATACACTATATATAACCACTGGAAATAAATTCATCTTGAGCAGAAATATATTTTTAGTTTATGAAAAATTTAATATGTTGAGTTCAAAATTTGTTTTCTGTAGTAAGGTGTTTTACAAAAACACTAAAATTATTTAAAATTATTTCATGCTGTGCTAAAACTTCTAATTATTTGACACAGTAATATATTTATTAACAAACTGAAAAACTTGCATTACTGTTGTCCAGAAATTTAATTGTAGTTAATAGTTTTAATTTTAATTGGATTAATTAAACAAACTTATATATTGTTAATTCAATTTTTTGATATATAGAGAATATTTCTTAAATTTAAATATTCATTATAATTAAAAATAAACAATCGACCTTGAAACATAGAGCTGCACATTTTTAATTATAAAATTAAAGTTAATATGTATTTGCTACTCCATACAAACTGTATTTTTGCAATATATTTCATTTTGTATTGAAAATCTTACAAGAGTTTACATGGGATTTTCATTAAATTGAAGATGATTTGATCATATAATCTGATTACTTATTTTCAAAATAATCAGATATATACGAAAGTAGTTTGATATATAGCTCTAGTCACTACATAAAATATTGAAATTTTTAATTGCTTTTTTGTTTTTTGAAGCAAGCAAAGTTTTTAATCATATATTTAATGTGTCATATTGAAATCATTTTAAAGTAGTAAAAGTCAAATGGTCTTCATTATACAAACTATAAATTTTTCTTTAGAGTAATATCTAAATCTGTCATGTAAATAGTAGCTTTATATGTAGTAAATCACATGATAAATATAGGTTTTTTTGTATTCTGTTAATATTTTGAACTATTATTATTACATTTAAATATTATGTAACAATTTAGTATATTATGTAACAACTTATCAATAATAATAAAATTTAGTAAAACAACTGGAAATATTTTCTTGCTAGAACTATTAAAAATGATCTATTTTTTTGAGATAGATTTTCCAGAGTTTTCAGTTCTATATTTTCTAATTTTAGAATATAAATATATAGCATTAATTTATTTTAATATTCAAAAAAATTAAAAAAATAAAGAATAAAAACTAGTGTAAATAACAATGCTTTAATGCATTACAAGTATATGAATGCATGCATACACAAATGCATATAAATATTTATATATGAAGTTTGCTTTACAGCATTTATTGCTAATAATGCTTTGGGCTTATATACAAATAATCAAAAGATTAATGTCAGTTAAATTTATTAAAAGATTAAGTAGATGTTTTATTAAAAAATATCTAATACTTAATGGAAAATTAAGATTGTATTTTCTAAATACAGTAGAATTTTAATTATCTGGTGATGGGATGGATAGCAAAAAAGTCCAGATAATACAGAATCAAATGTAATATGAACTGTAGTTGAAAATAGATTGTTAGATAGCTTTACAGAATTAAAATTATAAAAAGCCTTAAAGTACTCATTTTCAGTTCTAGATGATTATTATTTAACAGGTTAACAGGGAAAACTTGAATAATCAAAACTTTACTATAGCTTATTTTATTAATTCTATGAATGAAATTAAATAGTTCAGTAATTAAGTTCTTTAGTTTATTTTTGAACTGGTATTCTTTCTTTTGATTTTATGTAGTTTATTTTTTGTTTATTATTATTAGAATTTTGGTTTTTATATTTATATTCTATTATTATTTTTAACTAACTGTATTCATTTTTCTCTTCTGCATTTTAATCAGATAAGTTAAAGTTTGTTTAATTAATAATAGTGAGGCCTCATATTTTTAAAAAATACATTTGAAAAATAATTATATAAATATATAATTTGTCTTATTTATGTGATTTTTAGTTCTGATTCATTGTTACTGCTTCAGTTATTGATTATTTTTTCTTTGATCTTTTTTATTATAAAATATTTATTGATTTTTGAAAGTTTTTTTTATAATTTTTTTATATATACTAATTTTTTATTTTTTGTTATTTTATAATTGGATATATAAGATATCATTATATATAATACACCATCATGTATAAAGTCATATTCTTTTACAATACATACAAATCTGAAGAATTTTGTTAGAATACTGTAAACTTTTGTGAAGTTTCTTAAAATAAATTTTTTTATAATTAGGATTTAAAATTTAAATTATCTTGTCACTTCATAATATACTTTTAGTGTACAAAAAGGAAAATAAATATCAGGATCTGCTTCTTAACTTCTAAAGCTATGTTATGTGTCAAGTTTAATTACATCTTAATCAAATATACACTCAATATTCAATATTCTTACTGAAGTTATTTTTTTAAAATTAATGCAACTTTTACATTTTAATATGTTTTCATTATTTTTCAAAATATAGTTTATCTTAAAAAGAAGTGTTTACTCTCTCTTTATAAGTAAAAAAATTTTTAATATGTTTTCAGTTATGAACAAGGTAAATCATAATTTTATATATAATATTTAAGAAAAATCTTTAAGATATTTTGTGTATTATCTGTAAGAGTATAAAATTGTCTTTATATAAAATAATCTTATAATCTCCAAGATCAAATATTTAAAAATAGCATTTATTTTTATAAATTCTTTATCTATTTATTAATATACTTTTTGACATTAAATTTAAAATGTTTTAATAGTTTTATACCAAATGTATTTTATGCCATTTACTTTGTAAGTTACCTTGTTCTTGATTACTGTGATAATCAGGAATTGACTGCATTAAAAATCTTTCACCATGAGAGAGAATTATTTAATGTCCAAAACTAAACAAATGACTAGTTCAGAGTATATAAACTTTTATTAAGTAAAATTTTGATCTCAACCCTTTTTACTCCTTGTCTTATTAGAAAAATTGTCAATGGAAATAAAAATATTTAATTGAAATGTTTCTTATGCACACAAATGAAATTAATTCATGTACACTTATAGTATAGTAGGATTGTTCATGTGGTAGCTAGCGTGATTAACTAGTGTCTGAAATGTGTAGTTAGCTGTGTTAATGTGACTTTGTAAAAAAAAAAAAGATTTCTTCACCTTGTAACATTTGTTTTGTATAGGAATTGTAAAGTCCATTTTGTTACCAACAGATAAGAGTGCGGTATTTAACAAATGCTCATTTTAGACTTCTAGTGGCAATAAATTGTTTAATTATAAGTAGTTTTGTTTTTTATAATTTTAACTAATTTGAGCCTTGGATTGTTGCCATATACTGTATATTTTTGTTGTTGTAATATTTCAGTCAAATATTTTTATACCATGGAATGTTTGAAGCCTCAGAATGTTTTGTTTATAAAAACAATAATTGTGCAACAAAGGTAGAAATTGTCACTAGAACTGTTGGGAAATTTTACAAACCTGAAACTATTTGTTTGTAATGATACAGCATGGCAGGGAATATTAGCTATCCTGCTACAAGTATTGAAATAATTGTAATATGTTAGTCTGTATTTATTTATTTTTTGCCATAGTTTGTTTTAATCACCAAAGAATTATGCATTCCAAAAATTATTGGCAGATTTGTGAATTGTTGTAGCTAGTATTTAATTATTTGATACAGATCTGGACATGTTTTAATTGTCCTTAGAATACATGAACTCATGTCTGTATATCCTAATATAAGAGACAAATCACTGTTAGTGTTGTGAAAAATGTTGACAGCTGTTTTGTCCTTTTGAACTATGTAACTGAAGTTTTTGAAAGTAAAGTAATGACTTGATAAATGTGTTGCCTAAATTTTTTATAATAAAATTTTATTATGGAAATGATCAATATAATCTAAATAATCATTTTAAGAGTGTTTTATTTGCTTATCATTCATTCAAATTATCAATATTTAGATTCTATTTAACATGATTTCTAGCAAATTTTAGGTTTACAAAATTATTTTGACTAGAATTCTGGCATCAGTGTATAAAGCTTTCTAATAAGAATATGAGATTTAAAAGACAACTACATACTATTTAGTAAAAGTTGATTAAAATCTAATGTTTATAAATTACACAGCTAATGAAAATAAATGAATTACATATATCACAAATTGTACTACAAGTTCAATTATGTTGACTTCTTATAGTTGGGATCTGGTATTTACTATAACACACAAATACCTTTGTAAATTCAGTGAGATATGACCTCAGGACACCAGTGATATATAGAATTCCTATGAGGAAAAATAGATTCAAAAAAGACCTAGAATATATTAGCTCTATTAATATGTTACTACAAGAACATCAGTATGATATAGATCACGGAAAACATACCACCACCTTGTCTACGCCTCAGAAAATGACATTTCACAAATTGAAATTAAAGATGTGTGCATAAACTTAAAGGAGTTTTCTCCTTGAATCTTATGCACACGTCTTTAATTTCAATTTGTATGTCATATGCCTGACAGTGCTTTTACGATAAACTGGGATAATACTTTAACACATAATTGTCATGTTTTGCTGTTTGGCAAATTTTATTAATTTTTAATTTCTTGCAAGTGTTGGTTAATTCGAAAATATTTTTTAACATACTTAACATCTTTTGTTTAATAGTACACTTTATTCTAAAAGTTATTTGACATGATGAAGATTTGGTTGCGATCAAAAACGTTTGACAACATATATATTTCGTCGTTATATTAAATGTACAGTATTACTGGATTTAAAAAGGTATTTGTGGTGTTGTACTATTACGTAATTTAAATGTTAAATGATAATCTTATAGTTTGAAGTGTATTATTTTACACTTTTTGAGAGTTTTTAGTTTTAAAAATTCTCAAAAAAAAATATTGATGAGTTTACTTGAAAGTTTTAAACGTTCAACTATTTTTATTTCTAACAATATTTGTATCTTATTATCTTTGAAATATTAGAACATAATAATTACTTGTATAAACTTTTAGGATAAAGTATAATTGCAGTTTAAAATTGCTTAATTTCCTGTTAAATATTTGACTTGTGTATTTCGGTTGTTCCGAATTAAGAAGATATTTTTTAATTAATTTATGGGTTATAATTTTTAAAAATCAACATATTCACAGCAATTTTCATCACATTCTTAAAAAATACCTTGAATGAACTTAAAAGAATAAAAAAAATGCCGTTTTAGATGTTAGATCATTGTGAAATTCATTTTGTGTCATATGAAAATAATTATATCAAAGTCATTTCCTTACATTAATACTTTAATTTAATGTAATATTGGTAATTTTTTTTCTTTTAGATTCATTCAATTTAATCAGTTCTGTTTTTGTATTAATATTTTCATCAAAATACATTCCTGTTTAGCATCTTATAACTAAAAATGTAAATTAAACTCGGATGTCTTAAACTGACTTCCTCAATGCGAAAATACGAGATAGATGTAAGAACAGCAGGTGACACGTTCAAGTGCCAAAATATTTATTGAGGCGTAGCGTTAGCGAAGCTTCTTCTATGTGACTTACAAAATCTGTTCGATCGATTTTGATTTAACTTTACCATTTTCCATTAATTGCGATGAGGAATCCAAAAATGTAGTGTCCATTTTAAATTCAAAAAATATGAGTCCATGACTTTGTCACTTCAATACCTCTATATCAAAAACAATGTTTGTGCTCTCTGATGCGACTGAGCGTATCTAACGGAATTTACGCCTATGGGTCAAAAATAAAAACATCATGCATATGCCTAATTATGGAAAATATGTGCGGAAAAATGAACAAAGCAATCGCCATCTATTGCTTTGTTTTTGGATCGTCTCTCCGTACACGGCCAGTGCAAAGATCGTGTATCCTATGGCCAGCAGGTATAAGGATAGCTTTTTGCGGCGACAAGTGCAGAGTTCACTTGCTTGTGTCCGTCAAGTACAAGGATCGCCTCTTCTGTGTCTAATAAGTGCAAGGATCACTTCTTTCTTTCCGGTTCCACCTCAATTCTATTACGATACGACAGTCGCGCGATGTCTTAGTTTATAATAAGGCAGTTAAATCTAAAATTAGAGCAGTAGAAGTATTTTAAAAGCGGTCTTAACTTAGGGATTATTTAAAAATACGGGAGCACTACTTAAGGTAGATGTAGTGCAATAATAAATATTGCCCAATGTGCATTCGCAAATCAATGTTCTCGATGCTTTCGATCTTCTAATGAAAACTAAACATTGAACACCTTTCAGTTTTCATTAGAAGATCGAAATGTTTGCTCTCATTTGCTCTCTGAAGATGTTTGCTCTCACATGTTAGCTCTCATCTATATGAGGAATGCAATAGGCTCTCTGCCTATATGTTTTGCGCTACTGATGGAGACCGCTTGCGGTAAAATAGTGAACTTTGTAGTTACAAACAACAGAGTCACGACTGAGCTAATATAACAAATTCGGTGAATTTTTCCTCTGGCATAAAGAAACGAAATAGTAGTGTGGTAAGATATAATCTTACAGTAATACCATAGGGGTAGTTTTTTTTCCGAATAAAAATGACCCTTAACTTTTCCGACATTTAAAATTTTGATGGCGCCATCTGTTATGCTATTTTATTTCAAAACTTCGTATTTTTAATTATTATAAAATGGCAAAAAAGCTTAATTTCGAGGGAAGGGATAAGTCCAACCCTACTCGAGTATGACACACGACCCCCTTTATCTCCCCATCCCGTCGACCTTTACCAAAATTTAATAGCGTCAATCCCCCTTTTTTTCTTAACTCTTTCCGCCCTGTGGGCACTAAGAGGGCCTCTTTTATCAAGCCCATTATGGGTTCGGCCAGGCCCACAATGGGGAGAGGACCCGACATATCCGAACGTACTACTTCCCGAAAAATTCCTGAGGATTTTTCCACTCGTTCGGATTTGATCCCGGGTCTCGTCAAGCTGTAGGCTGCCACCTTGACCGCTCGGCCATCCGGTCTAGCATCAATCTCCTAATACACAAAACCCCACAAAATTTCAGAAATTTTCGACAAAAAACACAGAAGTTAAGCTGCAAACAGGATGAAAAAAAGCTACTATTGACATCCCCCTGAAATTTCTGCATTTCTCGGTGATTCAAGGCCCTTTGAGTCCAAAAATGTAAAATCTTCGGGGGGAGTCATTTTTTGATTGATCACCATACTTTTCCTCTCTCATACTGTATATAACAGTGCCGGGAAAGTAAAATCAATTTAAATAAAAGTAATTCAGAAATATCTTAAAATCGTTATGAAATAAAGATATTGGAGAAATGGGTTTTGTATAGCATTAAAAAAAATGTTATTCGATGCTTGAAGAAGTGGTGAGTATATAGATATAAAAATAAGTACAACGAAGAGAAAGAAAAAGCATTCAAATCAAAGAAGAAGAATTGGTCACTTGCATAGAAAACAAAAGATTCGGAGCGAACTCGACACAGTTAAGAAAGTGACTTAGAAGCAGGAATGGAGTTTATGTCAGTCTTTGATTAATTATTTTTGTGTATTTCGTGCAAATTAAAATAAAATAATGCAATTTTTATTTGGAGTTATTTCAGAATTTTTTTAAAAATAAAAGTTACGTGGAGCCTATTTACAATAACTTCATTAGGCTACATAGTTTAGATTATTTATTTATTAAAAATTTCATTACATTCATGTGAATTTTAATCTGAACATTTTGAATAAAAATTAGGATTATGTGATTTGTTAATAGTGCTAGAATTATATTTTTCCTGTATAAAAATGGAGCGTGACAAAAGTCGTTCTTTCTTCAGTATTGAATGTAACATTTCGTTATTTAATTCGTCCTTTTCGAATTGAGAATCTCTTGTAATTTTCCTCTTAGACTTTTCAGATGTCCCATATAATGTCAAGGTAAAAAAATCAATAAATTTATTGTAATTTTTGTATTTTGGATCTAAATCTTGTATTTTTAACAGCCAATCTCCAGATGGATTTTCTCCCCAAAAATGCACTGTTTTAAATTTCCACTTTTTAAAACCTCTCCTTGAATGATCTCTTGGTCTTTCTGATAGCAACTGAGAAATTGTATTTGAAGGTGAAATTAGGTAAATCCGCAGATTTCCTCGGCGAGGATGTCGAATACTAAGAGTTGCTATAACGTATTCCAAAAAATATATGTGCTTTATTTCTCGAATATTTTCATAATCAACAGTTAACATTATAGTAGTAAATTCTCCTTCGATATACCTAAAAGTAAAACATGAACTATGTTATTTAGTTTTTAAACGTATATATTGTAAATGTACTAATAACCTTCTGTTTCGTTTCACTACTCGCAATGATTTCTGAACTTTGACAGGATTCCAGTTTTGAGCTATAGATATCATTCTTCCGCAATCCATTACTCCGAATCCAATTTTGCTGTGATAATGATATCCAGCTGCATTCATCATCCACCCGTCTTCTTTGGAATTTGAAATTCTTGCCGATTTAATAATAATATATTGCACGTCTCTCCATGTTAATTCTGGTCTGACAAAATAATTATTTTTCATCTTTATATAATTAAAATATAAATTTCAAATTTAAAATTTAAATACTTGGCTTCCAGAAGAAGTGCAATTAAACCTGCAGCCATTGGAGCAGCAGCTGATGTTCCTTGAAAGTTTTTCCTACAATTTCCGTGATCGCCCGGCACTATCTATTAAATTAAGGTTAAATTAAAATAAAATTTTAATTAGAAATTTCCTAAACAGTTTTTATATCTGAATTTATCTATTTTCTAAAGTACAATGTCGTAGTAAAATTTAATCAACAGTTTATAGAAGTTTCAATTTACAAGTTCTATGAATGATTTGTTCTTGTGAAGCAAGGATGAAAAGTCTTCCTTGCATTATGTAATAAATAAGTCGAAATTTACGCGAATGAATTATATCAGGGATCATAAGCCTCACAATTCTCGCATTATAGGATTATAAAATTCGCAATGAAAGAAAGAATGAATTGCTATTGCTAATGAATATCTTTTGCAATCTTGAGGTGCCATTGTGGTATCTTAGTGTCTGTTAGCATTTGCGGTATGTTGCAGTAAGGTCTTGTTTACGCTAGGTTTATATACTATTCTCTAAGAATGCTTAAGAATAATTCTGACTGTTTCTAATTCTGACTATTTTTATGAAATCATCGTGGAACAAAATTAATGATATAAGGAAATTATTTATTATTTTCATGGTTTATCTTTAAAGAAAACTTATCAAGATGAAAATAGATCGTTTTAATGTAGACATGAAAAGAGTAGTGAAAAAGTTGTGTTTACGATATACGAATTGTGTAAAAGTAAAGGTAAACGGTAACTAAAATTTTCCAATCATGGAAAGCAGGATGTAGAAACTTATTATTTAGTGAAATCAACATCAACATCTTCGCTTTACCACAAGTTTGATGGCTTTAACACGTTATGGTACTAGTTTTTGTATCAGTTCATTCTAATGAATATTTAGTTAGTTTTCTTCCTTTTTCAATGAACTTCACAGATTCACGCGTGCACCATATGGCGGCTGCATAAAACTTCAAATATTTAGGTTTTGGAAAAAATGTTCTAGATAAAAGATAAACTTAGAAGTATGGAGAATCATGCATGCTGCTGCAAAAAGCTTGCAAGTTCAAAGTTCAAGGAATGCCGAACAAATATAGATGAGACACAAACTTTTAAACCCACGCTTTTCGCAGCGACACGCACGACTCTCTGTATTATGCACACATCTTGCGATGGATCTCAATAGGACTAATGTCTTCGGTTGTCAAAAATCGAATAACAGCCTGCTGGTCGATTGTGGTGCAGTTTGATATGAACGACGCATTTTGTAAACCGCGTAGTGAGCAAGCGAGCACAAATGCTACCTGGCAGGGAACTGTTTTGATACAGGGCTGCATTACGGTTCATTCTTTCACTATTATTAGTCTCGACCTTGTACGCTACGTTATTTTGTTACAATCTTATTTATTGAATCTAGTAATAAATCATTTCTGTGATTTTAATTCGATTGCAAGGAAAGATAGAAGTTATTAACCCAAAAAAACATTGACAATGTAAGAGATGACAAGGAAACAGAAAATTTATTTGTTATTAAAATAGCTATGTTTGAAACGAATGAGACAAGTCTAATGATTGTAACTATTTGTCCCGAAAACGCGCAATTCATTACTATTAATAATTCACAATCGTTCTTCGTTTGTTTTCGTTTTTTTTTTCTATTTCACTTTATCGTTATTGTTATGATTTTCGGTTCGTTTTCCGTTTTTACGATTTGTCCACTTCGTCGAATTCACTGCCGTCAATTGATATTTATCGTCATTTCTATTACAAATTGTAATTGCTATTTTCTCTCTTATATATATTCAATTTTTCTTAGCAAAAGAAATATTTTCTCTCTTCCGAAACCACCTTCATTATATCTTAATAGCTTCTAGTAAGTACCGTGTTTCCCCGAAAATAAGACAGTGTCTTATATTAATTTTTGCTCTAAAAAATGCACTAGGTCTTATTTTCAGGGGGATGTCTTATATTTCCATGAAGACGAATTCACATTTATTGTTGAACAATACGCTAAACAGGTTCGAGAGAACACCTTGCGACACATTCAACTTAACCTTTTTATAGTGTCCACATCGAGCTCGATGACCAATTAGTGCTTACTGAACCGTAGCACTATGCAAATGTGATGTGGCGTGATTCCCAGCCGACCAATTAGCGATCACCAGCGATAACATTATGCAAATCTGTGATTCCCAAGCCATAGTCTTATGCAAATCATGCCGTGTGGCGTAATTGTCTGCTGACCAATCAGTGGCTGTACTTTCAACCATCTGTCGATGACCGTTACGACTAAAAAAAAACTTCGCTAGGTCTTACTTTCAGGGGGAGGTCTTATATTTCGCAATTCAGCAAAATCTGTGCTAGGTCTTATTTTCTGCGGATGTCTTATTTTCGGGGAAACACGGTAGTTTGCATCACTAACGGGACATTCCAATTTTCAACGCTGACTCAGCGCTGATCTCAACATTCGTCAAAATTCGTTCCTTTTTTCAACGTTGAGGTAGCGCTGTTGTCAGCACTGACTCAACACACTCAGCACTCAACAGATATGTTGACTGCTACTTTCCAATGAATTGTGGGTAATTGGTAAGATATTTGAATGGAATCCATCTTGCTGAGAATGGAATTATGGGAACTAGGCACTTCGTACTCGAGTTGGAACGTCGTTGATGACGTCAATTTGTTGACTTCAACACTCAACACTCGCGTTGAAAATTGGAATGTCCCGTAAGATAGCGCCTATACTGTCACCGATCCTTTGATGGATTGTCCATTCTATTAGTTGAGATCTTATAGTGTGGGCTCAGGTCTCCCATAAAGACAGTGTGTTATATGTATAATATTTATTAATCCTGTTTTAATTATTAATGTACAGTACAGTAGGCCCGAATTTCGTATTATTATGTTAGAATTTTAAGTAGACAAAATAAACGGTTATTGAATAATTTACTTGAAGCTTCCTATCCTTTGAACTTTTTGTTTCTAAATCATATAATATATTGATAATTCATTTGATTTGCCCATCTGAATGAAGTGCATTCCTGTATGATAAGTCCTTGAATTATCAATACACTATATGATTTAGAATAACTTATATGATACTGAATAACTTATATATATTGTCATATGTATATATGTATGTATGTATATGTGTGTGTGTGTGTGTGTGTGTGTGTGTTGTGTTTGGATTGATACTATAATTACAAGCTTACTTTATATACTGTATAAGAATAACATAAAAATCAGACATACAACTTTAGTTGATGCTTTCATCTGTAGTAATGCTTCAATGGTTGGTTTGTTATGAAAACCTCCAACGTACGTTGACGCAAGAGTAGCTGGACAGATTTCAGTATAATAAGTTGTTCTACCGTGATGACCTAATGCTCCAATGGCAATCGTGTATTCATTTGATGCGTATCCATCCATATTGCAATTATCGTGATATTTTCCTCCATTTCCAGCAGCCCAAACGTAGATCGATCCTTTTCCATTGCGACCCTACATGAAACAAAATATATAAAATAGAAAACAATACGCCGATCCTAAGATCCTAAGAAAAAAAAAAATGTAAATGAACCTGATCTCATCCACATTTTTTGTTAAGTATTGGTAAATCTATTGATGTCAATGAATATTTTCTGAACTAGTGTAAGAAAATAGAAGTCAAAACTTGGTCATACATTCTAAGATAAATTGCAAGGTAGGACTATTTTAGACTTAGATGTTTTATTGTTTTCTAGGAAAGTCGTACAATAAATAGTTATAATTTAATTATACGTATAACTTTTATATTAATTAAATATTATTACTTCATTCAAAAATAAAATCAAATAAAAATACTTTACATAGTGGATATATTCCTGAAAAATCTGTGTAAAAGAAAGATACTGCTCGTATGGAAAAATGGAAGACTGGTTTCAGACCTTAAAAATCAGTACAATATTACGGATAAACCAAGCAATATAATAGGATATATTTAAACAAAATATCTCAACTTTACTTAATAAATTAGAAGAGTGTTTGGTGTGGTTGACGTATGACTAATATGAAAAAATGACTGACTAGTATCAAAATATAGCATAGTAACAGCTAAGAAAATTAGGCTATTCTGGTCGCAGAGTATGGTATATTCTGGTATTGCAATGGCGAACCCAGGATTATGAAAATACGGGTGCTGATCTTGGCAGATTCGGGGGGAATAAAGCGCGAGCCATTTTTCGGAGAATGTTACTCAATGACCTTATGATTACTTTAGTTACCTAATTGAAGTCATGCGATTATATTTAGTTATGAAGTTACGTTGTTATATTTATTTTTAAGTAACAAAACAGATTTCTTTGATATGAAGGGGTACTCATCACTAATAAGCATTCCCTGGAAACGCCCTGCGTTATTGTAACTTCCTTAATTTTTACCCGAATATTTTTTACATTTTGCTATCTTATAATTGTTAGATATTTGAAAAATAATCTATAAAATAATAGTTTGCAATGTTTGTCGTATAATGAAAAAAATTTATAATTAAAACTTACATTGCACGAAAAAAATTTTTTTTTAAAAAAAGTCTAATGAAAATTACCTAAAAGTATAGTAAAAATAATTGAACCCGTCGATTCAAAAGGGTGGAATTCACATTTTATCGATATTCACTTTATGAATGAAATTAGATCTTTAATTAAGGCAAGCTATGTTGTATAGTGCATAAGATAAGCCATAATTCCTCTTCGATACTGCACGGGAGTGTGTTGAAATTCTGAGACAAATCAACGATTCTAATGTCCAGGACTTCAGCTCTTATGAATTGCCCACGTGGTCATTCGCTCGTCATAGGATCACAAAAACAAATCCCGGAAAAATTAGTAATTGTATAGTTTAATAATTTTTTTCGAGCAGTGCCTAATTACTAAAACTTTATAACAGAGACCTGAACTTTTATATAGTTGAACTGGCACCTGTTAATTTTACAGTATAAATAAAAACAGAAAGATGATTTTAACAACCATCTTTCTGTTTTTGAAGAAAAGTGCTACAGTAAGAGGTAAAGCTTCCAAGTTTCTAAGTACAAAATTTTACAGTATAATGAGCACCATAAATGAGATTCGTGCAAGTTCATGACTGGGTCAATGGAAACCAGTTTTCCCATATTGTGGAATAATGTGAATCCAAACTTAGCTGCTCCTATATTGTATGTGATGTTCAAGTAATGTTAAAACTGCCAAAGTTATAATATGCGAAAACACTAAGTATTTATCTGAAAGTGCTCGAAATTATACGATGAAGTGAGTGAAGATCTTATTGCCGTTCCTTCCCAACTCCGTCTGAGTTGGTTTCTTGTGTATCACGACTCGATGTAATGAATCAGGTTCGTTGGAAAGCACACCTCCACACTCAAATTGAATATATGTACAGTTTATTTACAGTTGTAGAAAATACAAGTTGGAAAACATAGTGTATGTACAGAATAACCATGCGTAGTGAATTCACGTGCCAGGTTGGCGTCTGGGAACTAATAACCTTCGGAGAGACCTCAGTCAGATTGTGGAGTCGGCTCAACTGCACGGTCGGTCCGGTCTCAGCACTAACCCGTCTCTGAGAAGATCAACAGAGGGGAACACTCTCTTTACGCTCAGCGGGCTTTCCAAGTGCCTGAGACAACCGTGTATCAGTCTCTTGCCCTTCTCTCTTGACTCTCGTTCATCCCGCAATTTAAGGGATTTTGGAACGGGAACTTCCGACCAATCACAACCCTTTTTTATGCCTGAACAGCTTACACTCGGGTCCGCCGTTATCCGACGAGAGTGAAGCTTACACAAGCGTCCGCCACTTGTTTACGTTCGTTTGTTTACAATATGGCAAATGTACTACCGTCTGACTGCAGGTGGGTCCAATTAACAAAGCCGGCGCTTCCTTTGTTTACCCTTGTTTACAAGTCAATACCTTACAAGTGGTATTACCCGACCGCACGTGGGTCCAATTGACAAGGTCGCGCCTCTTTTGTTCCCACTCTGCTAAAAGGTCACTACTTTACGAAGTGTCTGTTTTGTCTTTTTTTCCCTTCTTTTTTTTGAACTAATAAATTTTATAAGCGTTTTTAAATTCTGCATGAAGATAAATTGTAATGAGTTATTTTAATTTTTATGTGTTTAATAAGATTCGTTCATTATTACTACTAATTTTATAAGATTGTATTGTTTCGAAACGTGTAAAACAAGCTCTCACAAATTGCGATGGTCCTATAAATATTGGATTGCAAAAGTTTTTGGAATTTTCTAGAGTATTATAATACAAATTTATTTCAAGAACAAAAAATAGTTTATTCAACAAAATAATTATCATTATATTTAAGCTCCTTGTTCCATTGATTGGGCCTTGTTTTTATGAAACGAGCTGTATTTTGAGAAAGAACCCTTTCTCTAGGATACAATGCTCGTCCGTTTTATACATTGTATAAGGAAGACGTGCAATTATGTTTTTTCATGTGATGATGATGGTGATGATGATGATGATGATATTGTCTTTTATTTTCAACACTGATATACCTGTGGTGGGTATTAATATAATATACAATATTTACCACCGGTATATTAATGTTGAAAACAAAAGACAATATCATCATCATCATCATCACATGAAGAAATATAATTGCACATTTTATTAAGACTTGTTTAGAATTAATATTGTGTAAAATAAATGAAAAGTAATTGTAGTATTGTTTTGTAGCAGTTTCGTGGAACTTCTCCCACCCTGTAGTAAATCACCCAAAAATGTGTGAACCCTTGGTCAGGTGTCAGAGGGGTGACATAACGTACACCCATTATGTAAACACATTGTCCATCTGCTGACCACTTGCTCTGCTGCCTTCGAACTGATCAGATGTAAAAATAAAGCTCTCTTTTTGTTACCGTTAATCTTATATGTGTAAGTCATTTATAGTCTCCCAACAATCGGTTATGGGCCCAGGTAACCCAGAAAACCCAGAAAACGCTTAAGGAATAAGCCACCCAAGTGATCTCCTAAGTTTTTCGACTAAGGCTTCCGAAGAAGAAAGGTACTGAGAGAACAAAAGAAAGATGGCCGAGAAAGCAAAAGGACTGAGCTCGATACCCAAGTTAAATGGATCGAACTACCTAATATGGAAATACGTAATAAAGAATGTGTTGGAAGGCCAAGATCTGATGCACGTACTCGAAAGACCCAAACCAGAAATTCCTGGAGAAACAGCCGCTCCGGAAGATAAGGCAGCCTATGACACATGGAGAAAGAAAAACAGCGAAGCTCTTAGAATCATCACATGCACAATGGAAAAACACGAGGTTAGTCTAATTTTGAATCTAAACGTTGCACGCGATGTTTGGGAAGACCTAGAACGAAGATACGAAGGTCGATTAGACACGAAGCGAAAAATGTGTCGATCAAAGCTCTCGAAATTAAAAATGGAGAGGGACGAAAATTGGAAGGAATATATCAGAAGGGCTCGTGAACTAAATGAAGAAGCCAAAATGGTAAACTTAGGAATGGAAGAAACGGAATTGATAACTTTAATAACCGACGGACTGCCCCCTAAATACCATGATATCGCTCGAAAACTCGAAAGCATAAAGGACGCGACGATGAACGATCTAGAGTACGCCTTCCAAAAGAAAGAAGACAGAGCAAGCACCTCGCGATACAACGAACGCGAATCGGCTTTTCGTTCGAGATCCCAAAAGGGCAAATACGTAAAAGAGAAAGGATGTTTCACTTGTGGAAAATTCGGACACAAATCCTCAGCATGCTGGTACAATCCAGAAAACTCACAGAAATACGAACAGAAGAACGACCGATATCGCAATCGCACGCATGACGTCGGAGCAAAAGCTAGAAGAGAAAAATCAGAAACCAAAGTCAGATACGTCGATGCTAAGCCTCCGGAAAGAGCTTGGTTCACGCGAGACAAAGGAACTAACAAAGAAGAAGAATGGGTTATCGACTCCGCTGCTACGTCACATATGACATCAAATAAAAACTGGATAAAAGATATGAACCCAGATACACGAAGTATTCGAGTAGCCAGTAAAGACAACATATATGCCAATGGAAGAGGAACGGTGATGGAAGAAAATATGCCCATAATACTAAAAGACGTCCGATATGTTCCAAAGCTGGATGGGCACCTCCTCTCGGTAAACAAATTGGTTGAGGATGACTACACAATCATTCTGGATAAAACAGGAGGGAAAATCATTTCCAAGAACAACGAACAAATAGCCAAAGCAACACGAAAAAATGGCTTTTTTATTCTAGAGACTGATGAACAAAATTCCGCTAAACAGGTTATCACTGATGAGCTCGAAAGAAACGAAAAATTTCTATGGCATAAAAGACTGGGACACGTAAATGAAACATACCTCGACATAATGAAAAATCAAAACTTACTTAGAGGGCTCGACTACAAGGAAACAAAAATGGCTCAATGCGAAGTATGCATACAGGCAAAACATACTAGAAAACCCTTCAAAGAAACTAAAAATAATAAGACGAAACACCCTCTGAAACTACTTCACATAGATCTCGTAGGACCGATGCCTATCGAATCACTCACCAGCGACAGATACATGATGACAATCGTGGATGACTATAGCCGAAAAATATTTACAAATTTCCTAACTTCAAAGGATGCGACAGCCGATATGCTAGAACTCTTCATAAAAACGATGCAAAACAGAACAAACAACAAGATAAAGCGGATCAGAACGGACAACGGAACTGAATTCGTAAACCGAGATTTTATCCATATATGTAACAAACATGGAATACAACATCAATTAACGACAGTATACTCGCCGCAAAGCAACGGGATAGCCGAAAGGGCCAAAAGGACAATTCTCGAAAGAAACAAGAGCTTTACTCATAGAAAGCCAACTACCCAAAATCTTCTGGGCTGAAGCTGCACGAACAGCGACATATCTCAAGAACTGCACACCTGCAAAGCTAGAGAAAAAGGCATCTCCCGAGGAATTATTCTCTGGAAATAAACCTTCAGCATCACATTTACGAATTTTTGGATGCCTAGCGTACTGTACGCCTGGATTCCAAAGGTAAAACGAAACAAACTTGAGCCGAAATCAAGATCAGTTATATTTATAGGATACTCGAGAATCAGAAGAGCATACAGGGTATACGACCCAAAAACAAATAAGGTGGAGGAAACCAGGGACATTAAGTTCATGGAATGTCGATTAGGAAGTGAACTATTAGACAATTCAGACGGGGAAACTAATAGAGAAAAACAAACAAATTCCTGGATAGAAATGGATTTAGGCGATGTGAACGAAAACAATGAACCCACACCCGTAGATGCGGAAAGAATAAGGAACGAGGATAGACCCAATGACGAAATTAACACAAATCAAGAACCCAACCTTACCCAAAGCGAGGACACCCAAATTCAAATACCTAGAAGATCACAAAGAATCAGGGAGCAACTCCAACAAGGAATCAGACCCAACTATGACGAAAATTTCTCCGATACAGAAGAGTGGGATGATACAGATGCAGTAAACATGACACAAGATTTCACGCCAACTACCTTTAAAGAAGCAATCACTTGTCGAGAACATAAATCATGGTGGAAAGCTATGAAAGACGAATATCAATCACTGATGGGCAGTGCCGGCCCGAGGCAAGTTTTAGGATGGAGCGAGATTCTATTATGGCGCCCGGGGGTGGAACCCCGCCCACGCACTCGACCCACGCGCGTCTCAACAGATAAGGCCATTGACATACTGACCACACGTTTGCAATTAAAATATCGAAAAGTGAAAAAAAAATATATTTTTTTCTTTACTTTTTTTACCACTGAGGCGCCCCCTAAGATTTAGCGCCTGGAGCAACTGCTCCGTTCGCCCTATGGTAGGGCCGGCTCTGCTGATGGGACACAGAGTATGGGACCTAGTAGACCGAGAACCAAACGCTAACGTTATAAAATCAAAATGGGTATACAAAAAGAATCCGGACAGATCTATAAATACCAAAAAGGCCCGACTAGTAGCCCTGGGATGTTCCCAAAGGTATGGAATTAATTACAAGGAAACATTTTCACCTGTGATGAAATTGGAAACGCTAAGAATCTTTATTAGTAATTGCAACGCAAAAGAATTGGAAAATAAGCCAGTACGACGTTAAAACAGCCTACCTACACAGTAATTTGGACGAATGCATATATATGGAACAACCGATGGGATTCATTAAAGAAGGAGACGAATCAAAAATATGTAAACTAAATCGCTCTATCTACGGCTTAAAACAGGCTGGAAGAGCATGGTTTAAGACGATTACCGATCACCTGTGTCAAAACGGTTTCGAACAATTAAAAGCTGACCCATGCGCATTTAAATACCAACGAGACAAAAACATTCTATACTTAGGATTACACGTTGACGATATGATAACAATATCTTCGAATGAGCAAATCGAACACGAAGCTATGGCAAAAATCGCGGAATATTTCGACTTAGTTAACCTGGGAGACCCTAAATGCATTTTAGGAATCGAAATAACGAAATTCAAAGATGGGATAAAACTGACGCAACAGAGACAAATAAAAGAGATACTCCAAAAATTTAAAATGGAGGATTGTAAACCAGTAAACACGCCAATGGATCCTAACCAAAAATTAGACGATAGCGAAGGATCGCCCTGCGGAAATAAGAAACTTTTCCAAGAAATTTTGGGAAGTGTGATGTATATCAGTTTAACAACGAGACCCGATTTGTGTCAGCCGATCAGCGAACTGTCACAGTACACACAAAATCCAAAGGAAATGCATATCCAAGCAGCGAAACGACTGATACTATACTTAAAAGGAACCCAAAGTAAGGGAATCATATACAAACGCGACCAAGACAACAACTTAATCGGATACGCAGATGCTAATTGGAAAGATGGGAATGTAGGTCAACGTTCGAATAATGGATACCTTTTTCAACTAGGACAGAATCTCGTATCGTGGAAATGCAAGAAGCAGAACCAAACGGCGTTATCGACATGCGAAAGTGAATTGACAGCATTAACCGAGGCTACGAAAGAATCGACATGGTTAAAAATGATCCTAAATGAATTAGGAGAGAGAGATTCTAACAAAACAACTACGATTTATAGTGATAATCAAGCTGCGATAAGTCTAATCAACAACGGAAGTTCTAACTATAAAACGAAATACGTAGTAAGAAAAATATCATATGTACACGAAAACGTTAAATCAGATAATGTTGTTGTTAAATATATCCCGACGGAAGAAATGTCGGCGGATTTTTTGACAAAACCATTAAACGCGCTTAAATTAAAAATCTGTTTAGACAGAATCAATGTGAAATGAATATTGTATTAAATGAAATTAAAATGTAACCACGAAACTTCCCCAAAAAGGGGGGATTTGTAGTATTGTTTTGTAGCAGTTTCGTGGAACTTCTCCCACCCTGTAGTAAATCACCCAAAAATGTGTGAACCCTTGGTCAGGTGTCAGAGGGGTGACATAACGTACACCCATTATGTAAACACACTGTCCATCTAGTGACCACTTGCTCTGCTGCCTTCGAACTGATCAGATGTAAAAATAAAGCTCTCTTTTTGTTACCGTTAATCTTATATGTATAAGTCATTTATAGTCTCCCAACAGTAATTATGTTTATTTTTAGTTTCATATTCTGAAACTGGGTTACGTTATTTGTTATGTACCCTATTTATGGTATTATTGAACTAAATGCATCTGTAAATTACAATTTTTTAGAAACGTTCTAGATAACAGCAAAGAATGTGAGCAGAAATACTCAGAAATAATATGATGTATACATTATTTTCACTATTTAGAAACATCGATTTTAGATATCTCTTTGTCTTTCTTTTATATAATACATAAAGGAATACAGTAGAAGTGCAACATAACTTCTAACTTATGTTGCATAACAAATATTACAGAAATATCAAAGATAAAACGCTTCAGAAGAACGTTGAGAAATGTAATATAAAGTGATTCTTACTGTATATAAGCTAACGTAACATTTCAAAAATAAATATTTTATGTGTAATATATAAAAATATTGCGAATGTTTATAATGATCAATAAAACGAAACAAAAGACCAATGACATCTCGAAAATAAATTTTTAAAATGTGAAAATCAATTAATGTTATTTTCTATCATATATTATTCAAACGTAAAAAAAATCAAAATACAATTTGTACATACTTCTGTTACACCTTTTAAGAATGCTCTTCTCGCTAAAATTCCTGGTTTAGCCATATGTTTGCCATCATCTCGAGGGCCCCAAGAAGCACTATAGATGTCCACTTTGTCAAGTGCATGAACAATAGACATTGCTTCCTGTGCATCAGTCATTGGACCATCCAAAACTCTGCAGCCTAATTAAGCCAACAGTTTATTTGATATAATATGAAATTTTATTAAAATAAAGAAAAATGTACCTCCAATTCGCGCGTTATAAGCAATTCCAACTCCACATAAACTATTATTAGATAAAGCAGCAACTACTCCGGCACAAGATGTTCCGTGACTAAAATTATTCGAAACTCGTATAAAATTTTGTCAAGTTATAGAAAAATATCAATATTATTTGAGTAATTTTACCTGTTTACTTCAGCCGTTGATTCATCAATGTCTTTAAAATGAACATAATCATAACTAATACTCGGATCCTGAAAATAATCTTATTTGCTATTTCAGATTGTTTTATTAATAAAGTTTTATTTTATTAATAAAGTTAAAACTTACATAATTTCTTCCCAAATCTGGATTGTCAGGATGAATTCCATCGTCTAAAATTGATATTCGGATATCATGACCAGTATATCCGGCTCTCCAAACGGACTGAATATTAAGATGGTGCCATGTATAATAATGCTAAAGAAAAAAATGCATCGAAAATTATCGTATTATATACTCTTTAATTAATAAAAATTAAAGTTTAAATAAATAGAACTATGCTACAATAAGAGTTTTGTGATTAATCACTGATAAAATAAATAAGCAAACTAAAGGCTACTTTTTTATCTTCAACTCTCTGTCTGCGGCTATTTTTAATCATATCTATCATATGATTAAACGGAATGTGGAGCTGTCCATTATGGATTAAGTCCACAATGAGGAGGCAGGGTGAAGGACGGGGCAAGCGTAGCCCATAAAAAAATTACTGAGGTTGCTCGAGAAAACTCGATCCTGCATCCTCCAAGCTCCATAAGCGGACACCTGAACCGCTTTGGCCATTCATTTAAATAGGCCTGGATCGTCAATAACGCCTATTTAAAAAATCCAGCAACGAGTTGCGTAACTTTTCCTGCAAGAGTTAAAATTGTGTAGAAGACCATTTGTTATGTTATTTTTAAAATGTTCTATATTATTAATTATTATAAAGTGGCAAAAAGTTTAATTTTGAGTTTTATTAAAAAAATTAAATGCTAATAACGAATGAAATCTTTATTAAGTCCAACCCCATTCGAGATATGACACATGACCACCCTCTATCTCCCAATCCCCTCGGCCTTTAACCACCAAAATTTAATCGCATCGATATCCCTAATACACAAACCTCCCCGCAAAATTTCAGAAATTTTTGACAAAAGACATAAGAGTTATAACATCCCTATTCGATGTTATCTGAAGAGATACTTAGCGGTCCAAGTATAACTAAATCTGATATAGTGACGTTTCAAAACATGTGGAAGACATCTGCGTAAAAATTAGTATTTTTATATTCCTTTGCATAAGCACACGTCTGGCTACTATTGTCAGCGGCGTGAAAATAGGGAATTTCTCGGTAAGCTGTTTACTCGGTGTCCATTTTTTATTTTAATATGCATTTTATTTCACTCGAGAAAAATAAATTAATAAAATACTAGCACTATCCATTATATTAAATTTTTAAAAACTCTTGTTCTAATTCAGGCCGTAAGCCGCCTGGTTCGGCCCACGCAAAATGACATTCGGTCCATGTAACTTCTAATTTGAAAGTAATTGATCACAGCACGGGCCTTAGGCCGCCATGTTTATTTGGACTATTTCAGTTCTGTGGGCTCTAAGTGTTTTTCAAGCCCAACTTAGGTTCGTTTAGATCCACAATGGAGACGGCTGGATGGAGAGAGACAGGCTCGATGTATCCGGGATAGATCGTGGTGAAAAATTCCTGACGAGTTGTTCGCTGTATCATCATCGTGATCATAATCATCAAATAAAGGAAAAAATGCTCCCAAATTTGTTTGTAGAGTTTGCACATGACATTTTGAAGTTGGTGTTTTTTCGCTCACTGTTCAGAATTTATTAATCTGAAAGTTGTAAACTTCACTTTCAGATGAATGACTTCTTCATACACAAATCATGAAATCGGCCAGATAAAGGATAAAAAGAGAAGCTCTGATTTTCACTAGTAATGAAATATCAGAGGTCCAGATTTAAATTTGATCCGAAAAAATCAGTGTTTGAATTCGATTCGAATCCACATTATTGATGTCACTCTCTTTAAAACTCCATCCAGCAGGAGCTAAGAAGTAACTAGTAATTGCAATGAATATCATAATAATCAAAATAATGCCGAAGAGAGGTATTTTCTTGTTATTCTTAGATAGGAAATATTTTAAAGTGGGTCGTACTAAAATTCCGTACATGAAGTTTGAAATGTACGGCGCCGGAATGTCAAGATATAACCGATATCAAATTGGTAAGCAAAGTCAACATGCAGTTGTTCATTTGCATAAGAAATTTAATGTTCTTAGGTTGTGTCATGTTCATGATGTGTGTCGAAATTTGATATCTCTCTGCTCTTTAGCTTCTGTGTTGTACTAAAGAGCCAAGAAATGTAATAGAAGATATGAAGGTAAGAAACTGAAGGAGAGAGTGGTTGAGGCATTCCGCAGTGCTTAGCCGTACTGCAGAACATCATCTTAAAGTCTGAATTTTAAACCTTTCTGCTCCGAAACAATGTGTTTGATGGCTACGTTTATAAGACATGTTTTAATCCCTAGGCCTCTAGAACACGCAGTAAAATATTGCCACTTCTTTTCGGAACACCCTGTATAACTTAAAAGAGTAACAGAATACAGTAAACCAGCGCTGTCCAACTGGCGGCCCGCGGGCCGTATACGGCCCGCCAAATAATTTTTACTGCCCGCGAGTACATTTTACTATAAATAAATTTATGTTACTAAATTATTATTATTAATATTANTTATTACAAATGTAAAATTTCGTTTTATAAATTTTACGTATTTAAGAGAAGGCAAAAATAATAAGAAAAAAAAAACACTTCGCCAGCAGCGATTCAACTCATAAATTTTAATCTAAACAGGCCTACGTAAAAGTCGAATAAGTCGATAAATGTTAGCGTGAGTTTCGTTCTAATCATTCCAAGCCGCCCGGCCGACCAATTAGCCATCACAAACCTTCTCGGCCCCCGAAATGTTCGGTGAAAAAAATATGGCCCGCGGGCTATGATAAGTTGGACAGCGCTGCAGTAAACCAAGAAGCAACTGAACAGGTACAAAATAAATATAAGTTATACACAATATAATGTATTATTGACGTATTACAATTCTTCCCAAATGGGAGGAATTAAAACCCCAAAACTTTTTCCCTGTGCACAGCTTTGACATACATTTTCGATGAAAAGGTTTTTTTTTTTTCTTTTTAACTTACCAAATACCATTGATCTTTATAATAAGGATCATTGAAGTCCATTTCTCCTCGATCAGAATTTATACTTCTATATTCATTTTCCGTAAACGCAGGTAATTCAGAAATGTCCCGACGATAACGAAAGAAATTATATTGAGGAAAGATCCTGAGTACCTGTAAATATGGCATGTCATATTATTTAATTTTTGCAGACGTAAAATAGTTTTAGAAGAGAAATAATTAAAGACTCCCAAACTTGGTCATTTGGTATGATAACCCTTACGTAAAATAAATCTTTGTAGGTATGTAAACATTTGTAGTTATATAAATCAAATACTATAATATAATGTAATAAAAGGGTTAGAAGTACAAAATAATTTAATAATCAATTTCTGTTCTTATTTTTTGTTCGAACAATGCCGATTACCTGTTAGTATTTAATATTTATTAATATAATATTATATTATGTATAATAATAATTGCATTTGTAGGTATTTTTATGCATGAAATGCAGCTAAAAAGGTAAAAAGGCGCTTTGCTTTGGGAGTCAGGAACGGATTAATCCATTTTATATTGTTTCTTACGGAAAAATTTGTTTCGGTTTTGAACAACTTTTAGTAATGTACTATGTTCGAAAACTGATGTTTGATTGAATTTAGTTAAATTTTTCTTTAATCCTGTATTTTTTCTATTTCTTTTTACTGTTTTCTTTCTTTCTTTTTTTTTGCAAACCTGCATTAGATCACATTATTGGAAAGCGATGTTATATTACACACAATAATTATGTGCATGCCACCGGTTAACGATCGTTATCTCGTGTAATATTATTTAGTATGCTAAAATATTAAAAGAAATGATAACATGTGGTTAAAAATTAAGCAAAAATAAATTTCTCATTTCGGAAATAAAATGGATTTTTGACAAAATACAGTAATACCCCGACTTACGCGAACCCAGAGTTACGCGATTTTCAAATCTCGTCCATTCGTCTTTTGTTTGAGCGCCATCACGCAACTCTTGATTATTCACTCCCCCCACACTATTGTTCAGCTTACGTGTTCGGACGTGTCGCGCGGAATCGACGCATAGCTACAATTTATTTTGTGTAATTTATTTCTGTTTGTTATATCTACGGAGACTCGAGAGACTCTGTGTGATAATTTCTTGTAACCGTGAACGAACCAAAAGGCGAGATAAGATTAACGAGAACATTTATTAGCTTACATACATCCGACTTGGATTTTACACAAAAGGCATCTGCAATCGTGAACAATTGACGAAAAAAGTATACATTTATCAGATAATAAACAAAGACTCATTTTGTAAACAATTTACCTTTTGTATATACAACTGACAAGATTACCTTTCAAATTATAAACAGACTCGATCCCAAGCGGTCTTTTGATCGTCGGACATACAAAAGAAATGAACAGATGGCGCCTAACTTAAGCGCGGTTTACAATAACGAATATGATTAATCTTAACACTCTACTATGTCATCCAAACGAAGTAGAACTGATTCTTCTGCATCAAACAAGAAAAGAAAAACTTTATCTTTGGAATGTAAAGTTAACATTATTAAAGACTTCGATACAAAAATGAAAATTTGTGAATTGGCAAAGAAGTTTGATCTACCGGAATCGACGGTCAGAACAATTATAAAAGGTAAAGAAAAAATTCTCGAAGCTGTGAAAAATGCTCAATCTTTAAATTCAACCATCATTCCTAAACGTCAGTTTAGGTATGATGCTTGTATTATCGCTGATATGGAAACAATGTTAAAATTATGGCGTAATAATCAAGTAAATGTGAAAAATTATAAAATAATATAGGCCTAATTTGTTATACATATGTGTTATCTAAGATTTTATTAAACATTTTTTTCTAAATTATTGTTTTCTTTAGTCTCCGGCCCCAATTAAAAATAATTTGTATGTATTTATATGCAAAATTATACCCGACTTACGCGAATTCGACTTACGCGGTTATCGCTCGGTCCCACCTATCGCGTAAGTTCGGGGTATGACTGTACATAAAATTGCGAGCATACCCAATAGTATACTGATGTATCGTGTCAAGAAATCAATTTATTAATCTGATAATTTCGTGCGATGCTCTGTATTTAAATTGCGAAATATATTTATTTGGAGAAATTAAAAATGAATTCCAACTTACCAGACATTTTCTCTACGAAAATCTTTTTTATTACAAATGTAAAATTTCGTTTTATAAATTTTACGTATTTAAGAGAAGGCAAAAATAATAAGAAAAAAAAAACACTTCGCCAGCAGCGATTCAACTCATAAATTTTAATCTAAACAGGCCTACGTAAAAGTCGAATAAGTCGATAAATGTTAGCGTGAGTTTCGTTCTAATCATTGCAAGGTGATTATCGTTAACAATATTATCTAAGAAATTATATTGAATTTCGAAAACTTAAAAATGAAATTTTTATCTATAATTTTATTAAAAATGAAGAGATTATTTTTAAAAAAATAATAATCACTCACATCATTCTCAAATTCTATCGCTTCATCACGTTTAAATCTCGACTTTCTATTGATATTTTCTACCAAATAGTAATCGTCACAGCGAAAAACCTGAAATATTTTGTTGATTACATGAAAACGTAACGTTGAATTTCAAAAAAAGAAAACGAAAAGCAACACTTACTTGAATCACACGTTTGTATCCATGTTTCCTGAGAATACTTTTTGCTCTTTTTCTACCTCCTTTAATTTTTACTACTAAATATCTAGTATAAGTTTCATTCGGTTCTTCGTTAGATAAAATTTCATTCTTACTTTTATAATTAATAGAATCGAAATCTTGAAATCGTTCGTCGTAAGAAACTACAAATTTTGTACATCCGATTAATCAATTATTTATTTATTTATTTATTAAATTTAAATTAAAACTTTGCTTACCTTTAGATGTAGTTTTTCCTATTTCATTTTCGAGATTTTCTTCTCCCTCATTTAATTGTAATAAAGAGTTTAATGAAATTAAATCATTAATTAAATTTGTATCATTTTCATAGTTTGTACCATAGTTACTAGATGGCGTAACTTTGTTTAATTGATAAGAAATTTTTATACAAATGATAAAGATAAGAAGACATAACGATATTTCCTTCCTCATGAAAAAGCATTCCTAAAATAATTTTTTATTATAAATGTAATGAGGTAAAATTTTATATACCTTCAAATCTCTCATCTAGCTACATTTTGAAGGATGTTTTACATTTATTTCCGTTCTGGAGACGGAAATGACATATTTATTTGTGGAAAAAGAAAAAATTGGAAATACTACTTCCTTTCTTTTTTATAGAAAGGGTGTAAATTATTCTAAATAATGTATTGTTTACTTAGTAAGACCTTTCAATTATTCTATATTTTTTTCTTTCTTAATTAAATAAAAACATTAATTAAGAAAATGATAAATTTTCTATGACCATTTTCTTACATTTAACACGACTATTTTATATTCATCCAAATGGATAAGGACAATGTGGTGAGAAGAATTCTCACCACATAATATAAAAATAAGGACAATGTGGTGAGAAGAATTCTTCATGTTTTTAATGTAAAGTGTCAGATCCTAAAACAGAAGGCTGACACTTGATCGTTTTTAACATTGTGAATTGTTTTTTACTGTTTATTTACCTTTGTTTTTAAGAAGTATATTCTTCAAAAAGAAAAAAACCCATGTTGACTGTTACTTCTGGGGTGGTGTAAAAAAGGATTAAGATAGACTCAAAAATTTTATATTTTTGTAAATAGTCTTAACTTCATTTAAGAAGAAATATAAAAATCCTGAGTAATTACAGAAATTGTATCCATATGCAAATTAAGTAAGGATAACTCGTAACTACCACCAGAGGGCCTGAAGCAGTTAAAAATGGATAAGGACAATGTGGTGAGAAGAATTCTTCATGTTTTTAATGTAAAGTGTCAGATCCTAAAACAGAAGGCTGACACTTGATCGTTTTTAACATTGTGAATTGTTTTTTACTGTTTATTTACCTTTGTTTTTAAGAAGTATATTCTTCAAAAAGAAAAAAACCCATGTTGACTGTTACTTCTGGGGTGGTGTAAAAAAGGATTAAGATAGACTCAAAAATTTTATATTTTTGTAAATAGTCTGAACTTCATTTAAGAAGATATATTCATCCAATTTGGAGACGACGAAAATGATGTTTCTCTCGAGTATAAACATTAGAAAACTTGATTATGGTAGAAATATAAATAATAAATATGTCTGTAAATTTGTCTAATTAAATATTAGCAATAAAATAACTTCATTAAATCAAGTAAATCAAGCTATTTGTAATGAAAAAATAATTTAATTCATAAAATTGGAACATTTTATATGCGATGATCTGTTGAATCCGAAATAATTCAAAGTGCAGAGTAGACGATTTTACTTGTTTATCATGAAAAATCAGGAATATTTCAATAGAAATAGAATTTTCAAATTTTCGAGGAAATGTATTTAAAAAATTACAAGTTAATGGTTTTAAATAAATAAAATTCTTAAAGATTTAAATTCATTAAATTTTTATATTTCTACTGAGAATTGAAAATCGATTAGACGATATTTTAATAAATTATATTTATCGAAGAATCTTCTAATCGATTTTAACTTCTCAGTACAGAATAAAATAATAAATTTAAATAATTTCTACATTTACAATCATTCAATTTTTTTTATATTTCTGGCTAAAATCCAAATTCAAATCGATCAGTTTTCGGAAATCATCCTTTATAAATATCTACAAATGCGTTAAGTAGATTTTATGGAAACTTACAGTTATCATAAAAATACTAAAATCACAATTGTGGTTTTTATATTTTGAATTTCTTGAAGAACAAGACATTAATAAATTTATTTAAAATATTTTTATTTTAATAATAATATAGTATAATTAATACAATTAAATTGTATTCTGTTGTATATGTTTTTAGTTACTGAATTGCTAAGTTCTTAATATAAATAATTAAATACGAGTTAAATACTTCAATGTCGGTGTTTTGTTATACAAAATAATATTTTTATTATAAAATCATATAATTGATATATTTGTTTCAAAGTAGTTAGTTTGCAAAGCAAATTTATAAAGAAATAATTTCAAATCATGAATAATATTAATACTGCTGTTATCAATTAACTCTTTTAATTCTTCTTTTTTAAATTTTTTAAAGGGAATTGACTTCACTTTTCACAAACTTTAGTTTTTAATAAATTCAAAGAAATGTAATTCATTATATTTTCGAGTTAATTTTATTTATAGAGCGAAATATATATATTTATTAATTACTTTAAAAGTTTTCTAAACATATAAATCAGTAAAATTAGGAAACTGGAAATTCATTATTCTACAAAAGAGGATGGCGGCTTAAATTGTATAATCCAGTGTCTGTCTGTATAGAAAACTGTAGAATCGTAGCTAATTAATTAGTTTACTTACTGTACCTTGAATTAATTTGTTGTATATGTTAACAGGAATATCATACACCGGATCCCTATACCTATTATTACGTTGCATAACATTCTCTCAGAATGTATAGAGCCATTTATAGAAAATCATAAACCAGAAAAGCTGCTGTGTTTTAATGAATTCAAATAAATTTCTATCAGATTAGAAGATTTGAAATATATGCATCATTCCAATCTTAGATTAGAAAAATATATACATATACGTTGCTTATTATTTTATCAAATTGACTGATGAATATTTAATAATGTATAGATAAGTAATATTTTATTTTTAAAGTAATTATCTTAATCCACAAGGACATTTTACTTTCCTTTATTTTAAAATTGTCGATAGGTCTAGGTTATTTAATATTAAGTAGTAGTTTATTATGATCAAAATATAAATAAAGCAGAAATTAATATTGAGCTAGAATTTAATTATTTTGTCAAAAGAATGTGTACATGTGATTTGTTTGCTAATTAATAATAATTGCTGAATATGTATTGAAATGAAAGTTGTATGACGGAATTCCTTTTCTTTATACATACAGTGAAGCGCCGAAAATTAAAATATCAATATAATACTATACCATGGTTAAGAGTTTATTTTATTATTCTTATAAATGGCAAAAGATAAAAAAAAGAAAACAAGTTATAAGAGATTAAACAACCTATTATATAGCTTTCTGCAAATATTTAACGGTGAATATAGTATGTACTGTTCTGAAATACAGTAATCACTGAAACAATTAGCGTAGTAAAAAACATTTGACAAGCACGCTGTTGTCTTTTTTATTGTCTTACGACTGGTTATACGCCGAGTATATTATCCGACGTATAACTAGTCGTAAGACAACAGTATTCTTGGGTAGTTCCTTTCCAAATTTTTAAATATGCAACCCATTGAAATTTATAGTGATAGTGCTGTAGCAATAAAAGTAAGTAAAAAATCATATGGATCGAAAAAATTATCTTCATTACTAAAACTAAAATATATACTATGTATATAATATACTTATGATAAATAAATTAATAAAAATTTCAGAATGGCGATAATAAAACAGGAACTATACCGAAGGGGCTGCAGCCCTGCAACCCTTACGAACGAGCCGCCACTGATACAACCACTGTTTACGTAACTTGGAATCTCTTGGGATAAGATGCAAAGAAATATTCTAAGTTTGTTTGCTCTTACATTGCGGTACACTGCAGAAGTGATTGGTTATTTCAGTGTCTTCGAGTTCTTTCTAAATCCACGATAGATTTTAAAAAGACGAACAAGTAAACAAATATAAATATGATAAATTGTATGTAACAATACTAACTGCTAGACTTCAATACTCTTTACAGAAATTCTCTAAACTGATAGGCTACCAGAGTGCAAGTCATGCTTTTCAATTGCGAATACTAGAATTTTATATAAAATACAGCTAGCTTAAAATCGTCACGATACTGTTTCCGTCACGAAAAAAAACAAAATAGAAATGGTGACACCTGGATATAAATTAGTCGACACGAAAGTTTTGAACAAGCGGAGGGCTAAGTCTTCTATTATCCTTATAAATATACGTGTATAACTATAATGAAAATAAATATAATTAACATTGCAACTTAAAAGGAATTTAATACAGATCATATATCATGTATAGATTAGCAGCGTAATTACTCTGGGCGTCTATTAATATAATCGCTTCAAAGCGAAATGTGGGAAACAATAATAAAAATATTGTGGATATCTCTTAGAAGCTCCAAGCTTATCTTTACTAAAGAAAACTCCTAGGAAAAAACTTTGACTATCATCCAAAATTTTTTATATCTCCGATGTTTTTATCTGGATGCCAATTGTTTTTTGATTAATTATTGTGTTATTACATCCAGACTTAAAAAGATGATGTACAGTACAGCTCGGTCATCGCCGAGCACCGACCGAATGCTTTCAATACGCCGTTTAGTACAATCGCTGTAAAAAGTTTTAATTTGCATAAATTTCTTATTCTAGATAACATTTTAAATAAAAATAATTCGTTTCGATGCAATTTCATCTTCAATACAATTAAGCAATAAAAGTAAAAGAGCTCTATGGAAAATCCCCGTGAACTTTGACCTAGAGAATCGGAAGTTTCGCCAGCACCTTACTGATAACGAGAGAGCCTTAAGTTAAAAATATGAGCTCTGTAGACTTTATAGTTTTTCTCTAAGAGCGTATGCAGTGCCAGATAAAAAAAAACAAAAAAAGAAAGAAAATAGGTTGAAAGTGGTGCAAGATGGGCCATGGGGTAAGAAGGGACGTCTGTTTATTCGTAGTTAACGCGCTTTCATCTAGCTGTTATATGGGGAATTAAATGCTACCTCAAAAGGGATCGCGGGACGAGAGAACGTTCGAGTCGCTCGCTCTCTTTGTTTAGAAGTAAGACAGTTTTCCATGTTTCGGCAATACTTCATCTAATTTTACGCCCGCTATAAAGTTTCTACAAAATAAGTATTATTGCGAACTTTTACGTTACCTTTTAGATGAAGATATTATGGTATTCGAAGTAACCTTTAAGACTGAAATTGTTTAATTTTGAAATAAAGTTGACCCGTATTTGCAGTCAGTATGAAGAGTGCACGTGGGGGCAAGATGAGGTACCCCATCTTGCCCCCACCATCTTGACCAAGGTTGGCCATGAATTCTGCTGCTGGCTAGAGGCACTGCAATATAGTGCAGCGAATTAGTTTTAAATTCGTTGTCATTGATAATTCTAAATCACCTTTTCGAATATATAAAATAATA